AGCCTCAATTTAGTTCAAATCCAGTTTCACTCTGAAACTACAGTGTCAGACCAGTTTGTTGAGTCCCCAATGAACTGAAAATATAGGTAATGTACATCTGTACTTGGGATTTTTTGATTAACTGGAGCTGGGATTATGAAATCCCCAGTTCATGTTTTTTTTTTTTCAGTTTATTCCCATGCTTAACAAATGGAAGGTTGAAGAACTCTCCTCCTTCAACTCAAAGTTGTTGTCCAGCCATAGTTTCAATGAACTGAAACGCAAGTGAAGGTAGTTTTACTCTATCTTAATTTCTGTCAACTGGACATGAACAATACTAAAAGTGATTTGCTGGGATGAGTTTAGTTACAGTTAGTCTCTAATTTTAATCAACTGGAGATAAACTGAAACTAGCTAAACTGAGTGAAATGAAATCATTGCTTGTCTCACTTGAAGAATATCTGACTTCATGATTGTTATGGTGCATTCCAGTTGACTTGTGTGGCAGAACTGCATATCTCCTGGGTGTATATTGCAATTAATTTTCTAGGTGTGAATCAGGACTTTCTCAAGTTCGTTGCTATCTTTTAATTCAAGCATAAGTCTCCAAGAAGGGACCTATCAATCTAATAACAAAAATTGCAAAATGGATATTTTTCTACCCTTGCTACACCCAACATGTCTTCCTTATGGGACTCAAACAGATGAAGGAAAATAACCTCCAAGTCCTGTAATTACATGATAAAGTTTGCTACTGGATCAAGGTTTCTGATGAAGCATCAAAATTGGAAGTCACATTATCTCCCTAGATGGTGTCTATCAGAAAGCACTCTCATGCCACATTACCTTTTGGATCAATTATATCATTATTTTTGTATCTGTGTCTTTTGAGCATCTGTGATGATATGATGATCATATGGAGCAAGAACATCATTTACCTTGCTGACTGACTTTGTGGGGGTGTGGGCATGTTCATATTTGATGATTTGCTTGATAAAAAGCCAAAGTAGAGTTCCATGTATCTATATCATCTATATAGCACATCTATATCTGACTGGCCCAAAAATGCATCAAAAAGTGAGAGAAAGCATTTCTCAAGCTCATGTAGCATACCTAGGAATGGGTTATTGACCAGTCAATTAAAAACATGTCAATTGACCAGTCAATATGGTCAACTATGGTCAATTTTGGTACATAGGACCAACTTTTATTTATTTATTTATTTTTTCTTCATAGTTTTTGCACCATTATATATGTCATGACTCACAAGTGATAGACTATGGATGGGAAGTTGACTGGTCAACATGGTCATTTTAGACCATTTGCAGAAAATAATGGTTATGAGCCCAACAAGAGGTTAGGCCTTATGACTATATGATCATAAATGACCATGTTGACCAGTCAACATCTCATTGCTAAGATAAATTTAATGTTCCAACTCATGCAATCTATAGGGTAAACGATTCCCTGTCAGTTCCCCGAATGGTTACTTCCCTGATAGTCAATTCCCCAAAAGGACAGTTTCCCGAATGACAAACTCCCCAAACGGTCAGTTCCCTGTTTGGGATTTCCCCAAAGGAAATGGATTTGTTCCCATTTAAGTTTCCTGTCTCGCACATCATGCATGGGGGAATGAGGGAGGGGGGGAGATGTGGCCACCCCCAACCAAGTCAGAACCAAAGGGAGGGTGGTCTTGGCAAACGGAAGGAAAGGGGAAAGTCGCTAATCTTCTCTAATCCTGGAGGGGAGGAAATCATTAAATTCTTCGCCTCCCACCTAAGGAAACTTTGTTCCTTTACATGACTGCCGATACAATGCTAGTCAGATAGTCGATAAAGATTCTCACAGGAATGGGAAAAATATGAAAAAGGCAACAGAAACGGTTGTAAGATAATCCTCTTGGCCACCAAAGATAAGACAATCGACAAGATGTCTATCAAAATCTAAAATGGGACTATATATGGAGAAGTTGGGTGGCTTAGGAATCAGATCATTAAGTGGTCAGTTCTTGGACAGTGTGAGAGTTCGTGTATTAATGGAGTTCGTGAAGAGCGAAAAGGGCAAGAATCTTCTTGTTCTTGAGGGCTATCTGCTCACACAACAATATGAGCAAGGACAGATGAAGGATGTATTGGGAGTGCCTCTATAGAAGATACAAAGGAAACTGCAATTTCAGAGCTACAACTGAAGGAGAGCAGGTTGTCAGCAGGTGAGGGCAACATCATCATGCTCCAGAACCTGGAAAATTACAAGCCTACAAGGTGATTGCAAACATCGTGAATGATGTGCCTCTTCAGAGACAAACAAGGGCGTGAACTATAAATCGACCCCTAGACATGAAGGAGATGGATACGGTCAATAGCCCTCCTTCCGTGACCGTGAGATCAGAAAACCATGATCGGGGAACTGACTGTTCAGGGAATTTGTCATTTGGGGAACTGTCCTGTTGGGGAATTGACCATCAGGGAAATAACCATTCAGGGAATTGACCGGACACCATGGTAAACAGTAATGAATCATGTTTCATAGCTAGATTAATTTTTTTTAGGCATAGGCATAGGCATAACCCAAGTACTTGTCCCATGATCACAGACTTTGAGAATAATTTGATGCTCTGATGCAGACTATTAGCCAGGACCATGATTGACCTTGCACAAAACTAAAGTTCTAAAGCTGTTACTTAGATCTTGAACCTTAACTCTGAAAGTCCTTGAGGCTATAAAACTTCCAACAGCAAACTATGCCAGCACACACACTCTGCATCACTCAGGTGAAAGGTCATGGTAGTTTGAGCATTTGCTAAAATGTTTTCATATGCAACAGATGCCACAGTCTAGGTATTTGGCAGGCTGCATGAACAAATCTTAAAAATTGAACTGGCTCTTTGGTTTTGGTATTCACTGAATTAAAAAAATTAGTGGTCAATAATGGTCAATTAAAAGGTGGTCAATTGACCGCCCCATCCCTAGTGACCAGTGAGTCTAGTGTGGAGGGGGTGATGGTAGTACCAACATATTGTTTGCAACAGAGCAGGTAATGACACAAAAGATCCAAGGAGTACCACAGTTAGTATGGAGAGAAAGAAAAAGAGAATGCCAGTGGCAGGAGGAATTAAGGGTCTAAGGGAAACAGAAATCTGTGGGCAGAGCATGTACTGCAGAGCAGAAAGGAGAAGAATGTCCCTTCTGCTTTGGAGTGCATGGTTACACCTGATGTCATAATCACAGGAACTGCTGCTTTTGATGGGTTGCCTTTGTATATTACTAATGTGCACCAAACACAACCAGAATATGAAGAACATTTCAAGTTTTCCAACAAATCTGACAATTTTCCATATCGTCCTCTCTGGAAAAGCAGCACTGCCAGATTGGGTCTATCATGATGATGGAGGAATAAACTTCATAAGAACTTCTATGAGGTTATAGAATACCATATTCTGCATGAGGCAAGACCATTTTATCTGGATGGATTTTTGCCATCCAATTTCTGGGTATGTTCTATCTAATTTTAGATTCCCTGCTTTCCTTTGTCTCATACTCTCTTCATTATATGGCTGGCCTGTGTAGTCCATTTACATGTCTGCCTCCTCTGCTCCTGTCCAAAATATATATTTCCTGGCCTTTTTGAGTTAGGTTGATTTGCAGCTAAATCTACGACTTCTCAAATGATTTTAGTCCACTCAGAGTGAAGCTAGTAGTCTCTTAACTCAATATCAGTTAGCTAAACTACAATAAGCAAGCATAGGCAAGGTAGGTTTGCAAGCATGTAAAGTTTATTTAAATTAATCTGATTTTCATCTTAATTCCATGGATGGGAAAAATTGCTACAAAGAGCAATTGAGTTTTGAGGTATTAGCTAAGATTTGGGGATTTCATTGTTAAAGAACACTAGAAAATTGCTGATAAAAATATCATGTTGCAAACATAAATGAAAACAGTCTGGTACTTCAATACCATTTGAAGTATCAACTTCAAGAGAAATAACCCTGATCAGATTCCCAACATGCCTGAGCTGTGCAACCCACACCCCTTCAATCCCATACATTTTAAGTCTATGATGAATTGCTCTATATGAGTTTACACAGATGTCATCACTTTTGGTGCTAGCTGTTATCTTCCTGCAAAGCTGTGATAATCTTTACAGCCCTTGTCACTGAACTTTCCCCTCAATTACAGTCACATGGTGAGTTCTATTATACAAATGGTGTTCTTTCCATACAAGGATAATTATATCACAAGCCATACTTCCATTTCCACTCATATGTGCATCTTCATACTTCTGCCAGGGCACATCCAATAGAAAGTGTAATTGTAGACGCTTTACCTCGTGAAGTTTTGGGATAGCGGCAGCTTTCACATTTTTTGCAGCCAGATAAGGAGAGTGGCGTTTGCCACGGGTGAGACGCTTGGACTTCGTTCCACCCATGCTGGAGTCTGAATCAGAATCGTCAGAATCCCATGCTGTTCCTCTTTGAGATGGCCAGTGCCGCAAAAGAAGTCGACTTAATGTGTTCCTGGAATGGTCAACAAGTAACAGTAAAATACATTTGCTTTTAAAAGATTTACTTCATTCACTTTTAGTTGACATCCACGAGAACGAGGCAGTGATAAATGTATACTTATAATTTTGAGAGGTTGCTCAATGTCGGTATGGGCCCTTAGATTTCACTTAATATGAAAACCAAGATTAGTATCTTTCAAACGAAGAAAATTGACTTACAGATTCAATTCAAGAATCTGTTCAGAATCAACAGAGAAGAGCGAACTCATGTTTTCCAGCTGAGAGACGGCGAGTCGCCATCGTCCTCTACAGTGTCACTACAGTACTCCCTATCCTATTCCCCAGAGACACGAAGAAACCCACTGAAGGCAGACAGAATCAAAACTATAACGCAAAGTTCACAGTTTAATCACATAGCTTACAAGAGAGAGGACTTGAATGACTCTCTTGACATTCTAATAAGGACAACATGCCGTCCGGCGGGTAGGATGCTTTTAGCAACACTGGTTGACCTCAGAGGGCCTTGAGGCTCGAACATGGGCGAGTCTCCTTGAGGGTCCGTGCACGAGTCCAACATACGCAGTGGTACGGTTTCTCGCGATTCCATCGTGCCCAACGATATTAGCTTGTCTTTGCATTCGACGATCAATCTAAAATTGGAACTCTAAGAAATCAGAAATGGAACAGCAAAGATTCTGCCTGAGATGGAACAGTTTCCACGAGACCATGGCCTCTGCCTTTGGGGAATTGAGGAACGACGAGGAGTTCGTCGATGTCACGATTGCTTGTGGGGGTCAGCATTTCAAAGCTCATAAAGTGGTGCTGTCTGCTTGCAGTCAATATTTCCGTCAACTTTTCAAGGTGAGTCGCAGGAATTCATGAAGAATGAGAGAATGAAGATTGTTTAACAAACATGTTGGAATCATTTTTCCTGTAACTTGCAACTTGATATGATAGGAAAGGCCAAGTAAGTTATTGGAGCCCACAGGACAAAATTGTCTTAGTTTTGCTGACAATGTCATGTTATTCTTGTTGACATGAGATTTTATTTTCTTCCAGAGCAATCCATGCCAGCATCCCATTGTCTTTATGCGTGATATCACTCCTTCGGAATTGAGTGCTCTGCTGCAGTTCATGTACAATGGTCAAGCAAGTATTGAACAGGAGAAGTTGCCACAGCTTCTTCAAGCAGCAGAAGCATTGCAAGTGAAAGGACTTGCAGAAATCTCTCAGCAGCAAGACCGAGATGTGAGTTAATCTTGCTGACAGATTATATTCTTCATGGTGAAGACGGTAACAGTTAAGCACGTACTCCCTAATGAAACTGCACTCCCTCAGTCTCCAATGTTTCCAGATGAATTTAACTGGCCCAACCTAACCTGGCCTAACTTAAGGAGCAACACAATACCCCTAGAGGGTACACACTTTACCATGACCAGTGAAGACTAGGCCTTTATGAAATTTACATTTGCAATATTTTCTGTTTCACTTTGATGCTTTTTCAAATCAAGATGCTGATCCATGGTTTCTTCCATGCTTGAAGTGCTAGAGATAATTGAACCCATATGGAAAGATCATATATGGTAGTTTTATGCAATGATCTGTGCCTTATAAATTCATATATTTTTCATGTATTGAAATATGAGCACACATATATGAGAGCATATATGGTTGAAGCATATCATTATATCATTCATGTAAGGATTATTCTTATAATAAAAATACCCACGCACATATGTTCCATATAAAATAATTCTATGGATTGAGGGATGGACTCCTGCATATATGATGATGTACCTTGTTTAAGTGTATGATTTTTATAAAGGACTTTCATATATTGTATGTACATGTTCAGCATGCATGCTTTCATAACAAGATATATTGCTCAAAATATATATCCCACATGCATATGGTACAGTAAACAATTTATATGGTATGGTTATACCCACACGGTATGGTAACATCCCAGGGATGTCTCCAACTGCATGACCTGTCCCAAGGTCTTTATGGGATATTTTAAGGACTTTTTAGAGAGGTCTTTTGGACATCTTCAGTCACAAAATATACTTTATTTTTATAGGATTGTTCCATATGGCAGGAAATGAGTCTGTTTCAGAAAGAAAAGCACCCAGATATTTTGATATTGCTGAGAAGTTCCTAGTAGTCATCTCAGGGATATCTTTGGGACAGGGCCAGATTAAGAAGTTGTGAGGCCAGTGGCAAGTGCATTCTTGAGGCTTACCCCTCCATTACTTAATGCAAATATTTAATGTTAATTTCCTTTGGGGGCCCCCCTGGAAGAGTGGGGCTCAGGGCAACAGCCCCCTTTGCCCCCCCCCCTTAATCTGGCCCTGCTTTGGGATGTACTTGTTCTTTGTTGGAAGTGAATGGTTTTTGTATTCTTACAGAAGTGACAGAAGAAGTGCCAATTCTCAGTTTAGTTCCTGAAATTATTTTTTACATTTGGGTGAAACTTGTAAGAGTGTAACATGGTTTCATGTATGTTTCATACCTGATTTGGCCATGTCCCTTATCAGGTGTGACATATATGCCTCACTATGTACTAGATAGACATACTAAGTCATTCAAGTATATTATCTGCTCCTCCATATCATTTATGTACATGCTCTTTACGAAATTCTTTATGGCCATGTCATATATGATTGAATACTCACTGTTTCAATAAGAAGATATGATCATATAGTTTTCCCTATATGTGTTCATATAATATATACGATTTTCCTATATGGGAAAATACATCATATTCAATTAGGAAATAAGTATGTCACTACTTTTTTTTAATTAAAATTTTTAATCCTCGTGTCTAGCTCGATGATCCTCCTTCTGTGTCCCGACCGAACAGTGTCAACATTGATGTGCCTGAAGCTGACCACTCAAGAAGTGCTTCCCCCACCAACAAAAGGAAAAAGCAACTTCCTCTTCTCCAGGTTTGCATGCTTCTCACAGCCATTGACCAATATAAATAGTTTTTTGTTGCCTTTCCATTTGTGCTAAAAACTTCTCCAATATATTATCTTAAGCCATATATGGATGTCACAGAGAATGGAAGAAGTCTAACATTGAAGTTCCACAATGAAATGAGACCTTTCTGCACTTAGTTTTCCTAGGAGAGGAGGGAAGAGGGACTTGTATTCCATCATAGCTGAGAGGAAGTAGAGAGACCCTTGCTCAGCCAGAAAGCATTCAACCAGACACTTAGTTCACCTCTGTATGTACAGCTTTTAAACGTACTTTTACACACATGCATATGTGTAAAAATATTTAAGCATACATCCATGCATATTGGCATTAAAAAGGGTGAAACAATATATCCAACTTTCCCTCAAATGCCCTGAAAAGATAAAATTGTAAAATACCATCCATTCTTCCAGTCCATCTTGTCAGAGAGGCCAACTGGAGGTGACAGAACCCAGAGCAATGGCATGGCAGACCTTAGCAAAGGAGCAATGGGCAATGCTGATCAAGTGGATTCTGATGAGAATGAAGACATGAGTGAACCAGATGACAGCCGGTAAGCAGGGTAGGCTATACATAAATCATTAGGTGGAAAAATGCAACATTAGTTGCTTTTTTTTTTAAGTTCATCAATCATGTTTATGGCTGAATTCTATTGAAAGAGTGGTCTAAGAACACTCAGGTAATTCTTTCATGAAGTGGTTTTTGCACTTGAACATTAAGAGTTCTATACTACAACCACTATTAAGCATGGAATTGAGTCAGCAGATGACAGGTGCACAATATCAGAATTTCAAGATAATAGCTATGAATTCCAAAAAAGCCCAGGGAAACTGCCTCTCTTCATGAAGCACATACTGATATGGCTTTGTGAGCATTAGTTGTATATATGCCATCCTACTTTCACTGCAAACATTTCTTCATGTATATTTATAAATGGTAATTCATCAATGTGAGTTTTTTTATGAGGGAAAATTGGAAAGTAAGATCATTCAAAATTGTTCACAGAATCTGTATTGCACACAAAAAAATTGGCATATACAGATGAATGTACTTGTTTTTTTGCTAGTGTTTGAATACCTATCTCATGCAGAATGTGTTATCTTAGGTGTACAGCCAATGGCGTACCCTTGCTTGCACATCCTTGTCTGATGGGAAATGGTGGCTAGCAAGACTTCTCTTTGAAGGGAAATTCTTTGCCATCCCCCCTACAGCCCTGATCTGACCCCCTCAGACTTTCATCTCTTTGGGCTGTTGAAGAGAAGTCTCTTTGGCCACCATTGGAAATGGTGGCCAGAGACCAATTTCCAATTAGATGAGAATGTGCAAACAGTGGTATGTCGTTGGCTGTACACCCAAGAAAACAAAATTCTATGAGACTGATATTCATTAAACAGTGGAACAAATGCCTGAACATATATGGTGAATATCTCGAGAAGTAGCAAAAGACATGTACTCTCATCTGTATATGCCAACTATTTTTTTTGTGCAATACAGTATGAATGTGATTGACCTTATTTTCCAACTGTTCTTTGTACTTAATCATTTTTTTATACTGGGTATAGCCAGTGTTTTCCACACTGGACTGCATTTGTCCTGGATGAAACTCAGGCTTGTTGCTATGGGACTAATCTCATCAGTGAAATTTACTAAGTTGATGGGTTCTCCACCTATTCTTGGAGTTTTTTATTTATTTATTCCACTTAGTCCAGGATAAGGGAAACATTTCCATCTGCGGATGAGACAAACCCTTCTGTCTTCTTTCCTTGATCACCCTATTGAAACCAATGCGAGAGAAGAAGCTTGAAGGAGAGTTGTTTTTTTTTTGTTTTTTTTTGGGAAAGTTTATTTCAATATTAGTTCTTGCACTGTAAAGGTGTAAAAAAGAATTCCCAGCTACTAATAATTTTAAATTATGTATAGAAATTAGTCAAGTATTGCTCATGAATCCCTAGTCTATTCCTCTTTTTCACATGTTTCTTTCTAGTGATGAAACTTTTGATTGAATTCATTAACAGTGTCATGTCAGAACGCCAAAACATTGATGAAATAAAGCATCATCGTATAAATTTATTTTTCTCTGAGATTGCTAATGTTACATAACTTCCAACGGCCCGTTGCTGCGATCGTCTATCAATCCAGGATGACCAATGAAAGACAGCTTGAGGATGGCTTTGTGGCTTCAGCAAGCATCTTGTAGCTAATTATCCTTCCATCTGGAAGTTTATTGATTGTCTCAAGAATGAACAGAGCCTGAATGAACTTGAGATGGAACAGTATATTGCATGACAAGACCCTCCTCCAAGCCACAAAATTAATCATTGATGCTCTCTGAATAAACTCTATTGTTTTGGATTATGAGCAGCAACTATTGAAAGAGTATTTACAAAGGATTGCACATAATTTCAATCTCCAGGTGTATTGCTGATCTGCTGCAGTGTACCATGCAATGACAGGCTCCTCTTTTCAATATGTTCTTCTGTTCTCATCATTTACAAAATGTGATACCCTATACTACTTCTTTATTCCTTTCATTTTGCCTCTCTTGATGTGGTTTGAATTTCTTTTAATTTAATGTGTATGCATCAATAAAATGTAAAAAATGTGGTACTTCCATGAAAAGATTTAACATTTTCCTCTCAGCTGTACCATATACTTACATGTATACCTGATGATCTACGAAATCTGCCCACATGCTTGCTTTTTTTAATTTTAACTGTCTTTGATGAGAAACAAACTGCAACCAAGCTAATTTACTGTACATTATGGGAATAGCTCCAAGATGCTTTTGCTGAAGCCACAATGTCATCTTCAACCTGTGTTCCATTGGTCATCCTGGATTGACAGATGATTGCAGCAAGGCCCTTTGGAGATTATGTAACATTAGCAATCTCAAAAAAAATATCAGAGAAAAATAAATTAACATGTCAACGTTTCATTTTGTTGATGTTTTGTCACTTCGATGTTTTGACATGGAACCTTCATTAACAAATGCAATGGAGGATGACTCATGAAGAGGTGACTGCTCCACATTTGTCCTTTACTGGGTAAAGATCAACAAAGCCACTTTCATAGACCTATACTGATGATACTCATAGACCTGATATATCTATACTGCATACTTTGACCCCTGCACATATCTCTGGATTCTCAAATGTCAGGGGAGAAAATTTCAGCATCAGAGCCATGAAGTTAACTGTTGTGGGACAGTGAAAAATGAAGCTTCATGTCTCAGTGACATGAGTTGTCTTGTGCTTGATAGTACAAAAAGTTGTTTGCTTGGTTTATTCTTCTCTAGAGCTCCTCAATTGTTATTTATGCTTTTATTTCTTTATAGTTATGAAAGTGGAGAGGACAGCCTTCTGCCATCTCGAATGGTTGAAGTGTCTTCCTCTGAACAGAGGACCCCACTCTTACCTCCTCTCACTCCTGTGTCAGCCCTTGAATCTGGATTCCTGTCTGCTGCCACCAAGTTGCAAGCAGTTGCTTCTGCTCTGTCACAAGGTCAGTCTCACATTATGCCTTGCTTAGACTTGTTGGATGAGTGACATTTAGTATTGGCGTTTTTTCTTTAGAGTCCCATATGCAGTCAAACTCACTGTCTTTGTTGACACCTGCAATTACAATCTCTGACATTGGTGGGGGAAGTGGTGGAGGTGATATGGCACCCAGGAAGCTGGCCTTCCATGAACCTCGGCCATGTCCTGTCTGCCTCCGAATCTATCGCGATGCTGCCACGCTTCGTACACACACTGCCATCATGCACACTGAGGGACAGACTCCATTCTACTGCAGCTGTGGAGCACCCTTTGGGACCAAGTATGAAATGTACATTCACAAGAAAAATGGGCACAAGTCACACTGAGTTTAAATTCCTACTTTCTCATGCATAATATACATTGTGATGTCATGTGGGAGGTCAAAGTAGGCAGCTACCATTCCCAGTCTCTTCTTCCTACAATTCCATGACACTCCCTTAGCTCTATCATGGATCTCAAAAACTTTTGAGAACAAGTGACCATTGTAATGTAAGTCTCCCTTTAGTGCCTTGTATGAGTATCTCTTCCCTTCCTGTGATGTGTGAGTGCCTTATTGGTGAGTGCTTCTTTCAGAATGTGTGGTGAATCTCAGAGGGATTGCATAGACTATTTTTCCCAACTGAGCTAAGATCATTCCTTGTATAAACAAGGATCTCTTTTATGGTCTGGACTTTCAATGAGATTTATCTTACTTTGGCAACACAAGATGAGTTTTTCTTCAATTAATTGTTCTTCCAAAAGTGTGGTAAATGATGGATCAGTGATTGTTGCACCCATAGTATATGATGACATATCTGTTGTAATTTCTGTAATCTGCTCAGGTTCCAGTGAGCACTTTCTCTTCCAGTGTCATATTTTTGTATTTTAAGGGCTGATTGAAGTTTTCCAGTGAATTTTTAAAATGCTTCCAGTGTTTACTGAGGCTTTGGCAACTGACTTCTTTGTATATGGAAGAATACTTTTTTGTGAAAAATATGGTATTTATTTTTTTCCATTCATGTTATCAACAGGCTCTTTCCATTACACAATGGGCAAAAAAACACTATCCAAAGACTTCCCAAAAGAAGTAATCTTCATTAGTTTTTCTCTCACCAGCAAGCCTTTTACAGGCTCCTCACATGGTTGATAATCTTCATCTTGCAACTGGAGTAGCCTTTGGTATAAGGTGATACATATAAAGGGTAAATGAAATAAAAGATGGAGGGAGGTTATGATCAAAAGTTCAACATGATAATTATCAACGATTATCACAAAAAATCAACACACGATTTTCGAGCACAGGGCAAGAGATGCAAATGGGTCAACAGGATTGGGAATGATAATACAGCTCTGTCTCAGCATGACTTGAGAAGATTTTCAACCACTCAAGTGCTATCATAAGCCTCAGCTCTTCATATCCACTTCCTTATTGCTTATAAGCACACACTCTTCCATGCCAGTGGAAGCAGAAGTAGAGCATTAGTTTCCCTGCATAACCAAAATCCATAGCTAATGTATGCCAATGAGTTCAAAGGTCATCTTTGCTATTTTGTCGCTTCTGAATGGCATGTGCAATGTCAGACCGAAGGGCCTCCTGCTTACGCTGATCTGACAGAGACTGCACTGATCTCAAACCATTCACAATATCCTTGGTCTTGCTGAAATAAATCTCATTCAATGTGGAGCGAATCTTGTTCTCCATATTCTCCACCATGCGCCCGATGTTGGCAATGTGTGGAGAAGCCTCACTCACTGAACAGTCTTGTTCACTCTGCAAAGAAATGAAGGAGAACCCAGCAGTTGTAGAATGAATAAGGAGAAAGATTAAGGCCTGAATGCTGAAACATTGATTTAACAGTCCTTCAAAACACTTTGACTTGTCAGGCTCTCACAAGTAATCACTCATCTTGAATATAAAAAAATATGGAAGAAAACATGTATACCATGGATGGCATGTGCCACCATGCATTAGGTGATGAATGCAATTCCCTGCATTAATCCCTTGAAATCAGCAAATATACCCAATTTTTTTTTTCAAATAAAAACATGGTAGCATAACAAATACGCCAGTAATTTGTGACCGAGGGTGATTGAAAAAAGCTCCACCATTTTCAAAGGGGAGAAAGTACAATTCTTGTATTTGAGTAAAAAATATAATATGATAGGCATATAGGAGGTGTTGAAATGATTCTTTTGTTTCTGAACTATTCTCTGAGCCATGTATTGTTCTGTTACACAGTTTAAAGGTGGAGCATTACACCTTTTATTTATTCACCTGGTCAACAACTGCACCCTCTATCAGGATACAATGCCATCTTGCAGAAATGAAAAAAACCTCTCTATCAAGTATTAGCTGGATCCAAATGTCACTTGAAAAGTTAAAGTTGGAAAGCTCATAGAATTCTGAGATGGTCAAGCACAGGTAATCACCTCAGATTGAGGTGGAATGATACACCTCCAAGCATCTTTAATTCACCTCTATATGGGCATTGCAGGACTTAAGCAGAGGGGTGCTGAAAAAAAGCTGGCAAGTTCACGGGCGCAACAAGGCAGCCGCTGCTCCCCTTACAATGGAATGGTGATGAACATATCTCAAACAATGTTACTATCTGTGTCACTGAATTTGATTGAGACTGAACTGATCCCCAAACATAACTGGATTGGTTTTGGAATGGAAGGATGGAAAGCACAGGATTGGAGCAAGAGATTGGACATTCAACATCTGTAATGAAAGTAATGTGGTGGAATCTGTAAAAGGGAAGATCATAAAAATTCAAGGCATTAATAACAAGAAGCCATATAGCAAAATCATTACTGCCATCTCAATAGGTGAGAGGCAGGGCTTCAGAAAATGCCAAATATTTAAAAAATGCTTCATGATGACCCTCAATCATTCATCTGCCCCCAAAAAACCATCACCAATCCCTGAGATGACTCCTGGGCAGTGTCTGAGCCTACTTGCCTTCCCGGTGGGTGGCTGTAATAGGCTTACACCAACTTATTGAGACAGACATTCTCACGCTCATTCTGCAGTCACCTTTTCCCCCCACCTCAATTGGAGAGGAGAATAGGAGGGGGTTGCAAAGAAAATATAGTATATAAGTTAAACACTTCCTCTCATTCAGGTCAAACCACCCCACTTTTATTACACTGGTTATGTCACTTCTCCATTTCAATGTCTGGCAGCATTATGAAGCTGGAATTAATACCTTGGGTAACAAATCTTTCTGGCAGAAAAACATTTGCTGACAGGAACCAAGTGCTACTGATGGGACCAAATTTGGTGCTGATACTAATGGTTTGTGAAATAGCAGTACACAACTTTAACCTGCTTCATAAACCTGAGCTTCAAGATAATAGTGAACTACCTGTCGAGTCAGAGAACCTCCCAAATTCATCAGTCCAGAGGAATGCCGATGTGTCTGCAACCAGAGCATGGCAGTGGAGGTGAGCTTGTAATGTGCTGTTCGACCAGGGCTCTTCTCTTGCACTTCCACAACATGAATAGAATCCCAGCACCCTTTGATTTTCTTGCTTCCATCTCCTGCCTTCTTGATCAATATGACTCCTACATTCAAGAAAATCAAACCCAGCATCAGTCAGTCCATGTAATTACGATAAACATGCCATATAAAATGTCACTAACCTGCAAAGCCATGTTCTAGGTCCCACATATAAACTGAGGACACACCACCTTCAAAATACATTTCCCTGTACTGGTCAAATGCAGCATTGGCCTCCAGTTCCAGCTTGCGTATTCGTTCTGAAGGCATGGCTCCATCTTCCAGTGGTGGATCATATGTGTTGCTCCATGGCGACCTGTGACACCAGCAGGCTTGACATGTTAATATGAAGGCAACATGATGGGAACATCAGAGAGTGTGAGGCTGACCGATAGGAGTCCCCATCTCGATTGTAGTCACACAGAAGATACTCCTTGCCAACCTGCTTGTCCCGAGCAATCTTCAGAGGCTGGTCCACAGAGGATAGTAAGTCTTCACAGAGACTTGGCACCAAGTCTATGAGATCGCTCAAATTCTTTTCTATCTGCTGAGGCGGGAGTCGCCTCATCAGATCCAAGGCACAATCCAACTGTTGGTCTGTCTGCAATTGAGCATCAATGAATGCTGCTTAAACAGACAATCCTGTTTGTTTGATAGTCAAAACATTGTCAATGAAGATAAAATGGTTCAAAATTCTTAATTATTTTTAACCTCACTTCAAACTAGCATAACACAATACAAAATAGCAATTTTGAAATTTCAGATAAAAAATTTTGCAATGCACACATACCAACAATCTACATAAAATCTCTCAAATGTGCCAACTCACCATGGCAGTAGAAACTTGGTACTGGATGATAATGTGCAGGTTGATTCTCCCCTCCCTTTGAAGTTCAGAAGTTTTTGCACATCTGAGATACAATCAAATATCAGCTAGCATAGCATCACCTGTAATAGCACTCCCAAAATGAACTACAGCTTTCATTGATTTGAAGTGACTGCTGACATCTAGAACCAGCAAGTTGTTATAGGTTATTGGATGGCTCAAGTAAACTGCTTGGGAAAGCAGTCAGGAATGCATCATGGCATCCTTGAGTCTTCTCTGACATGACAATGTTATTGACTTTGATGAAAGGATCAAGGACCTGGAGGAGGACTAGCTTTCCCCAAAGCAAAAAACTTCCTTTTTTTATTTCAATGACATGAGCCAACAAAGTAGCAATGAGTTCAAGTGGTCTCAGATAGCCACTTCACTTCAATCTTCAGCTGTTGAATGGGCCACACTCACTTCAATTAGACTGACAGAGGTAATAAGAAAAAAAAAGGGCCAAAACATGCAAAGGATCATGACATGAAAAACGAGAAAAAGAAATATGAGCTCATAAGAAGAATTTTTTCCAAACCTGCATATATTTCACTGTGAATGGCATCTAGCTGATCCTGCTAAGGTGATTGAGTCTTGTCAATGCTCTGCTCAAAAAACCACATTCATACGATCAAATATCAAATCTTCAGCAGTAAAAAATATATATAAACAAGAATCTGAGGAAAGAAGGGTTCATAGAACAGCTACTGACCAGTTAGATGAGAAGGCAGAAGAAGATTTGGCCACCATGACAGGTGGTATTTTGTGCCATTTTAAGACACGCAACCTTGGTTGAAATGAACACCAAAAACCACCAAGGAAATAAAGCATGAGAAGAGAAGAGAAATAGGGAGCCAAAGGAACAGTTCACACAGGAATAATCCAAGGCACAGAGGTTCCACAATCTACGGAATGACAGCTCAGGGAGGAAAAAGCACCACTTTGCTAGCCCCAAGGTTTTCAGAACCTTCACTGTCTATTTAATGACATGCATTGGCTGGCTGGAAAAACAACCACAGAACATTTAATTGATGGAGAAGACAAGATGAAGCTGATTAGTGTGAGCCCTTTAACAACGGTAGAATTCTCTGCTTTTGGATGCATTTTTGCAGGTTGGCTTCCATTCCCATGATGCAAATCTCATCACAAACCATCTCCCACTCTTGAGTTCTTTATTTTTTTTTTTTAACACCACAGGATAGGAAGCAGTTCTTCAAGGGGATATGGAAACCTACTTCTCAGCTGCCACATTTGTCTTGACAGCTATAACCTGCTCTTCACCTACTGCCTTCAGCACAGTGCACTGCAAAATAATATAAGACAATGTTCACAATCTGAGTATGGAAACAAATCAAGATGGACAGTAGAGAAATTTTTGATTACTAGAAGTTCACGTCCAGAGTCAAAGTCACTCTTGATTTGACCACCCAATTCACCTTCTGGCAGCTTCAAATCCTCACGAACATCTCCATTTTCATCCATGAGGGACAGGAAATGGTCATCAGACACATTTATCAACTGAAAGGATAAAAACTCATTAGAATCAGCAAATGAGAGAGACTGTAGAGGGAAAAATGGGGAAAGGCTAACTTGGAAGTCAGATCGCTTGACAACTGGCACTTCCATGTTATGGGTGGAAGGGCAGATATCTTCATACTTCTTACTGGTGAACAGATCCAGACCAACAAGATGGACTTTAGCATGACCGTGCTTCCCTGTTTTGGAGGTGGACATTTCCACTATCTTGCAGGGACGACCCTGTACAGAAGCAAACCACAGTTCCAAAACTTTATTTATATTATCATACACTAAGTAATATCAATTAGGTGTTATACAGTGATGCATTACCTTGAGCATGACAAAACCGTTCTTGCGGAGAGCAGAGCATTGCATTGGGAAGGTCTCTGAAGCTCCTGCATCTCCACTCTCAAATTCGGGATGCTCCAGTTCTGCCATGGCTCAAGGATCGATCTGCTTTACTTCTAAGAGACGTTCCTGCATTCACCTGATCAAGCATGAATAAAATATTATTCAAGGATTTCAGATACATTATGGTAACTAGATTACAGCTTAAGATAATCTCAAATTTCACAAATTCCAAGATGGAAAACTAACAAAAACTAGCAGGGAATTGAGGCTCCAAGAAATTCCATCAGGTGCCAAATTTAGAATAAGGAATCCATTGCCACTAAAACTTACTAACAAATAAATAATCTCTGCCCAGTAGCTGCCACCCCATCCTTAGTCACATTATCTTAAAAAACCAATTCATTTTCACATGCTCATCACAATCCTTGCATGGCATATTCATGGTCTACTCAGGCAGGTACAATGATATCAGAAACAGTTTCTGTCCCATTGCATAGGCTTGGTTTGCCACAGAATATTTAAAGCAGGTTTGATATAGAATTATTAATACCAGCAAGCTTCAGGAAACAAACCCAAAATACTCATGCCTTGGGCAGAGGTGGGAAAAGTTCTGTAACCTGGTAACCAGGTTATCGGGAAAGGTAGCAACTGATTGTGAAGGCAAGGCAGGGAGAAAAAATTAATAACTGAGGGGAAAAGAAGGAAATATTGAGAAAAGAAAGAGTAGGAAGACAAGAGATGGTCAAAGTGTTTGGAACAGGAGATAGTATGGGATTGAAAGAAGCTAAATGACGATTGACTGTGAAAAGATCAAGCTTCTAAGCGGCACAGAAGATGGTACTGGTGGGAAGGGAAGATCTAGTCTGTGAGCGGTACCGAGAAGAAGTCCCAGCGTGACGGGAAAATATACCTGGTGACCAGGGCCAGATTAAGAGGGGGGCTGTTGCCCTGGGCCCCACTCTTCCAAGGGGGAAGGAACTCCCTGAAGGAAATTTAAAACATTAAGTATTTGCATCAAGTGTATGTGTTTGTGTGTGTGGGGGAGGGTTAGCCCTAAGAATCCACTTGCCCCAGGCCTTGCAACTTCTTAATCCCTTAATCTGGCTCTGCCTGATGTTTATAAGTTCTGGGACAATACGATAATTTTTTAATCCTGTGTCAAGTGCATAGTCAGAAAGATCTCAATATTGTGTATTTCCTCAATCCTGGGTTTGTTGGACTTTGCCGTAATGAGAAGGATAATAGGTGAGGAGTGAGGACATCAATCTAATTTGCCTGACGGTGAAGCAGAAGTGGCCTTGTCATTGGCATTAAAAAGGGATTATAACTTGGAGTGCGTATTTCATGTGGTGAGAGATATTGATCACCAAATTAGACAATGTCATGCCCCCAGGAACCCCTTCTTTGCTTTCAATCAATCAGTTGGCAGTCAGCTTCGCACTACCTGACTTTCCGCTGCCAAATTAGTTGTTACCTTTGCCCCTTTTTTGACCTCAGGGTTGAAAGAATACATTCCCCTTCAGTGCGCTGTCCAATAGCATCCCCCTTATGCGATTTCGTATTGCATGCACATGGTCCTGTGCCAGATTTCCTGGTACATACAAGTTCATGTCCTGTCAACTTTGTATGCATCCTATTGACTGGGAGAACATCTGCTGGTGTCGAGCACTGAAGTACAGTGAAAACTTGTTAACTCGAACTTTTAAGGACCAGGCAAATCGTTGAGTTATCTGAAGTTCGAGTTATCAGGAATTGCCCTCCCCCCTAAAAAAAAAAAACTCATGTTAAGGTACACGGGGGGCAGAATGGCTCGGAGTGAGAGCAATAGATTGACAGAGCGAATGTGGGAGGCTTTTTTATAACTGAGGTTTTTCCATTTTAATCCTCAGGTTTAATTGTCTCCACATGCGTCTGTGTGGGAGGAGGGAGAAGCAGAAAAAAAAAAAAACAAATGAAACAAAAGAGCATTCTCCCAAACAGGTTTCTTGTCATTCATTCAATTCAAAAATTGAAAAGTCCCACAAGAAGAATTTTTTCCCCCTTCTCACCCTGAATTTGAGTTAACCATGAGAAAATTGTCATAGGGAGTGAAAATTTATTTCGAGATATCAGGAAATTCAAGATAAGTGAATTTGAGTTAAACGGAGCTTTTAACATGGTGTCCTATGGGGTTCCGATGGGACCAAGCATTGAACTTCGAGCTAACAAGTTTTCACTGTACTTAAATTAAACCCTTAAACATGGCCTCGAAAGTCCCTTCCCACTGTCAGGCAATTTGTGGGAAATGCGCGAAATCGGTAAAACGCGACTGCCTTCACGATCACTTTGCAACCTTTCATCCTGGAGAAGTTGTGAGAGAGAAAAGTCAGACAACACAATCTAGTTTCTTCAAAAAACCTCTTCCAATGGCAGCAACAAGAATGGAGACCCACCCTTCTGAAGCTATAAAACCAAGCCCATCTGAATCTACTTCATTTGAGGAGCATGAAGAGGAATTTCATTTCAGTTGAAGAGGTTCAAAGCAAATGAAAGAGAGCCAGGGCAGTGATCAACTTGAAAATGTGGAACATACTCTAGGTCAGCCAGGATCACCAGAAAACACATATCTCTCGAGCATTGACAAGTTTAGTTTGACTAGAATGGTGGAAACCCTTTTGCTTCAACCAGGACCAAGTAGTTCTACCAGTGGTGCACTATATACAGTCAACTCTCGTTAATCTAGACTCAATGGGACTGGTGATTTTGTCTGGATTATTGAGTGCCTTCTGAGTGACCGTTCATTTTTCTTCTTTTTTTCCTGGAAAAGAAAACTGCACCTAATATGTGCAAATAAGGCCTTCATTATTTGCATGAGAACAGGAAAACTTGGGCTCTGTTCTTTTGATCTGTCATGACTCATGCATCCTCAAAGTGTGTGCTTCGCATTCACTTCTGTGAGAGGGACACCAGCTAAGACACGCCCTGTTCAAGTTCATCGCAACACTTCTATATATTTTATATCCAACACTGTCAATGCTAGAATATTCAAATCATGTGCTACTGCAAATTGTCTTTCAACTAAGGCCTAGTCCACACAAGAAAATTTTCTTGCATATATGATTGAAGAATGTTGCAAACTAAGATTTTTGAAAGAAATCTTTTGAAGGAGTCTCCCAGAGCATTGAAAATCTTGCAAATAAAACTTTCAAAGACATTCTCACCGTGAAAGCTTCCTTAGCAAGTCGACCTGCAAATAAATATAGCATAGAAAACTTTCTGCATGGACAAGGGCCAAGTCACAACACTTCAAAACTTCCAAATCCTCCTCCATTGTGAGATCAAGCTGAGAACACTCATAACGGGAGGTAAGAATCTTCTCGTGCCTCTAATGGGAAGAACAGGTTAGACTGAGACAGGACGAGTGACAACAATGAAAAGAGCACTCCTCATAACTCGATTCCAGGAAATTGGGGAGATTGAACGTTTTCCATTTTTATTTATTTATTTATTTATTTATTTTAAGTCCAAGGGTGAGGGAAAGTGAAGATGTGGGAAAAATACTGGGAAATCTATTCTTTTCTGTTGTATCATATGTATTCTGCAGGAAAGTCTGGATTAACGGAGGAGAACCGCTCAGGAGATAAGAAACTCTTCTGGATAAATAGAAAATACAGAATAATGAGGTCCAGATTAAAAGGAGAAGTTTATTATTGGTTTTATGGGACTTCTGCCGGGAGCATTCTTCATGTCAGAATTAATGGGAGATCCAGACTTGGATTAACAAGAGATGACTATCATTGTCAGAATTAGTCAGTCAGTCTTTCATAATTGCCTATATAACTAATTCTTTTGTTTTTTTGGCAAAAAAAATTACAGAAACATATGGGTAACTGCCATGCAGCAAAAGCAACTTTCTGAACATTTGCAGCTGTCACTCCAACTTTGATGCTAAGTGGTATGGGTATAAATTTGACACAGGCCAAAACGATTTGGAAGCTCATGCATCAAGGCAAAAAGACAATGATTTGTAAACTTCCCCATGGCTTCTACTTCATGACTTTTAGTCCAATGAATGCTACAAATTCCTCCATGGCTTCACTAACACTGGTGCCTATGCTGGCCACTATACATGTAGCTCAATGCTTATTGTCTATGAAAAACCTGACGAGAAATTCCTCTCACCATAAGCCAAGGTGGATGGAAATGAGATGAAAAAATTTCCCTAACATGGAAAACTTCTGTATGTGATGCAATTTTTGCCAGTTGGGCATCATTACTGAATCTCAAGGTATTAGAATGTAGTTAAGAGGTTTACTCTACCTTTAAGCCTTTGTAAAGAATGCAATGGAAAAAGTGGCTTCTCCCAGCAACATGGACATAAGGTGGCAAGAAATGCAGTCCATTCAATACCCATATAATCCTTTGTGAATGAAGGATTGATGTGATGTGATTCAAGTTGCATCAGATGAGCTTTTTTATTTCTTGGATTCTGGAAAATGAGAATCACTTCCCAGAAGCCTCATCTTCTAAGTGTTGCTGGTGTGTATGAACACTGTTTCAATTTAATACAAAGCTATATACAAGTGACACTCCTTGGCCTAATTACAAGAATGCATCAACTTAAACTAAAAATTCAGGCTGATATCACCTAGAGATCAATTCATCCAACATAGGACTTTGGATATAATAAAGACCCTGTTATTAGCAAGCCAGTATATAAGGTGAAGCATAAAACAGCAACTCTCCAATTTTTGGCATCCAAGAGACAGCAGATAACATAAAAAATTTGCTTTTAGTAACTACTACTACATACTCTCCAAACACCGTAACAGTCATTTTCACTCTAGCCACTTTAACATATGATAAAAGTTTACAAAAGCAACTCACACTTAATTAAATATTTTAAATTTATTAATAGTGGCTGTCAAATTTGGCATGATTAATAGGTCAAAGTTGGCATGAATTTCAGGCCAGTTCTCCAAATCTATCCAAGTCTAAAGAAAAAGGCACCCTCAATAAAAGATAGTGCAGTGACAAAAGCCTGTAATTTTAAGAAAGGATACCACTGGGGAAGAACTGTGCAAGAACATCTTGGCAAATGTTGGAAGACATATACTATTCAGATTCATGAGCTTAAAGAAACTGGTTATATCTGAAAAGTGCACACTAAACCAAAATTACCTCAACCTGAATAAAACTGTGCTAATGTGAAATAAGTTGTTGCTTTTCAAGATAATAATCCAACATTGGAAATATCATCCCATCAACAAACCACCAAAGACATGAATATGTCTGAGTTCAGCTGCTGTGTTGGAATCTAAGTTTTGGAGAATTTGCAGTGCCAAGGAATAAAGTTTCAAAAAGAACTGTCAATCTTAGGCAGATTTGTAGATCCAAAGGTGAATGCTACTGTCGGTGCAATAAAAATTGCTTGTAGGATGAAACAGCTTCAGAAAAATGTGCAGTCTATGAGGGGTGAACGGAAAGAAGTGGCCACAAAAAAAAAATTGCCCTACCTGTTGTCTCTTGAACACTAATGAATTTCAAGTGCCTTTTATGCCTTGCTTGATACTATGGGTATTCATCAACGTCAAAGTATGAATAACATGAAATACATTCAAAGGTTTCACCTTCTGAAAACATCCATGCTGGTTAGAACCAGCATACAATCATTTGGCAAATACATGACCTTCCTACTCCTTTCTAAACTTTTTTTTTGGTTCTCATTTTACACGATTGGATGTTTTATTTGGGTGTACCCATAACTCTCCATTAACTCAATGCATGCAATGACTCAAAAGAGATGTGGATATCAAAAAATTTCATTTAGTGATCATATTTGGCCAGATGAGTGCTGTTTCATAACACAGGCAACTTATTCTCAATGACCTAGTTATAGCTCTCAATGGAAGCAGATCCATGGATAAGAAAATAAGTGAGAAGTAAGCCCCCCTCCTTGGGACCACTTCCATCAATAGCAGGCAGTGACATCTTCCAGATCATGTGTTTTATCTTTTTTTTCATCTAGTAGTGTTTTTTTACCTTTATTCCCTCGGGAATAACGAATGCAATCTAAAAACAGCATAACTAATTCATTTTCATTGTGCTCAATGAAAAGCAAGATGTCCAATTTTTGTAGCAATAAAATTTGGAAGAATATAATTATAGACTGACAGGTGTAGCAACCATTCCACTGAGGTCATTGGAAAACCTAAAAAAAGTTCTCTATGAAGACAAGTGTTAAGATTTCACAATTCCTAGGAGCATCTTTATTTGACTTAGACACTCATGTAAGGGTGTCCAATAGCTCAGGTGTCTAAGGTTCAAGAAACAATTCTACCTCAATCAAAAGATGATTTTTAAAAAGTACTAAAGTGCTTTAGTACTCCAGACTTAAATTCTTTACAGACCTTCAGATAATATGTCAGAGTAACAAAGTGTTTTGGAGTGAATCAAAGAAGAGGCGATTGATACACTAGATCTAATACATAAGATGATGGCGATAATTCATGATAAAAACCTGGATTGCTGAATTCAGCATGACCTACGCAGACATGAAACTGCTTCACTTCGTTGGACTGACCTATACTCAACCTCTACACAAACGCCTCCAGCCTTCTACCTTCGGATAGTCGAAGGCCTGGAGTGAATTCGGATTGACTTCGAAGGCTTAAGTCACGATTCAAGTTACTAAAAATAAGTATTTGTACACACGTTGGACGGGTGTACAAATACTTATTTGTATACCCACGTGTCCATTACTTCCCTACATTCCACTAACTCAACCAGAAGTCCGATGATTCCTTCAAGAAAGAAGGCGCGAGTCTGGCCTACCGGTAGGTCTAACGTTAGCCACAGTTTAGGAAGCCAATCCGAAACGCCTCCATGAAGTCATTGCCCTCGAATGCGCCGCTGATTCGAAGACTGCAAACAACATACAGCCAAGAAGCGAGGGGTTGAGCAGAAACGGAGACAGCCTACGCAGGGCTTCGAACGGAGATATGTACTTAAACAGATTGCCGGTGATGCATTCACCGATGAGACAACACACACCGACGTCTTCTCCCACCGGAAGTCGGACAGGAGGAGGCCATTGCGCCTGCGCACACATCCTGCCTCATACAATGTGAAGGTCGTTTTTCATGCCAAGCATAAACACCATCGAGGCAGCCGTCTTTATACAGTGTTTTGATAAAATACTTCTTTTTTCCTAGTAATTGATGGGTTAATTCCAGAACAAAATCATGCAGATACAACTCATGCTCGTGTCTGCGTATTCCCTCCGATAGCGCAGGCTCGAATGTAAATCCGATCAACACAGAAATTGGCACAAAATCTTTGCTTTTAGCTTGAAGGTACCTTGCACATCAGGAATAGAATAATACTTTTTTTAATTACCGGAAGTTCTTAACGTGCCCATAGGAAGCTTTACAGACAATGGGAAATGCGGAGTGCTCTTAACCTCTTAGCGTTTGACTAGGTCCATAAGCCACGTGGTCTCCGGATTGGCCATTTCTACCCATCAGCTTCCTGTTCATCTAGTTTCCTCTCAGGCCACCCCCTCAAACCATTGATTTTCTGAAAGCACCATTCTTCAGTTCACACGAATCAAAACGGCATTCATGTTTCCAATACGGTGCTTGTTCCAAAGGCAAACAGGGGCGGGTAGCACTGCCTCTGTTGAGCCAGACTTGCGAAGTGTGACTTCGGAAGACTGTATAGTGTGAATCAGGCCAAAAATGAGCAATTCCCAGGAGACTAATACGGGAAATTTTACTGTAACACTTGTCATTTCTGGAAATCTCGAATTGTTGGTGATGATCTGCATCTAATTCTAGCACGGTTGAGCTCCAGAACCCTTAATATTATTTGTATTGCTGCTTGAAGTAATCAATTGCACCGAAAATGTCCCACCCTTAACAATGAGTTTCAAGCCACTTGACGCATGCAGAATTAGCTCAGCTCAACTTGTGGTCTAGGTTTCCTGTCTCATGGACACCTAAAACATGAGTACAATTTAATTTGAACTCATTAGGGTTTTCAAATACTGCCCTGGAAGGTGGGACAACGTTTTTGGTTATACAGTACCTACTTCCAATCATCACGCAGATTAACACGTTGGCGACAATGCGTCCTGATGCCAGGATGCAGATTTCATTTTCAATGAATACCCTCTGGAATGGTCCCACGCGGCGGACAAGCAAAAATAGGCTGGTCGTCAACGTGTTAAGATATGAATCAATGTTCACTATGCAGGCTATTTTTCTTGACAGGGACCCACATTCTTTGAAATAGAATTAGGCAGAGAAATGGAAACAAGCAGGGCTTTTTGACAGTGTCCCAACAATAACGAATTTTTTGCTGTGGGTGGGACATCTTATTTTCAGTCTCGTGGTCCTGGTCACCCCATTCGAAGTTTTATTTTTTATTTTCGAATTTTGATTTCTTTAATTTAAAGTTAATTTTCTTAAAATTAAGATTATATTTAAAAATATATCATTGCCTTCTGCCACAAATCTAATATCTAATATACCTGCATATAGGCAATCGCGGCGGACTGACTGACTTACTGAGTGACTGACGCTATTTCTAATCATATTCTAGAAAAGGTCCAGAGCTGAAACTTGGTACATAAGTACCTATTGGGATGATGAGTTCAGAAAAATTCAGAATTTGGAGGTACATGCCCTGGGGGCACGTTTTTTTGGGGGGGACGTTTTGAATAACATTTTTTTTGCTACCGTCAGACGCAGAGACATAGAAAGCTAAATCTATGTTTCCTGTCCTTTGTTTTACGTTGACGAAACGAGAGGGCGAGACTTGTTAGTCGTGCTGCACTTTTCTTGGCTTTCGGAGGCTGGCGTGTTGGTGGATGTTTTCAATTTCTGTTTTATTGTGAACCTGCAATTCCACCATGTCGCTGTCAAAATCAGTATTTAAAAAGGCGAAAAGTTGGCTTCGAGTGTCGGGTGTTCAGCAACCAGCGGACACACGATTACCTGTTTGTGCAGTGCAAATATAAGGCAGTTTGTCTTGTCTGTAAGGAAAGCGTTTCGGTGTTCAAGGAATATAGCAGTAGGCGGCATTACGAAGCACATTATGAAGGCAAGTATGACTCTCTGAAAGGCCAGATCAGGACTGACAAGATAGAGGCTCTGAAAAAGGTCTTGTTTGCTCAGTGGAATATTTTCAAGAAGAGAGTGCAGGAAAACCTGGCTCCAGTTCGAACTAGTTATCGTCATTAAATTATTAGCAGAGGCATAGAGTAATTGTGCCTCTGTGCAGAGGCACAGAGTTCGCACTGAGAGACCAACATGCCGAGATGTTGGTCTCAAATAACCAAAAATAGCCTGTATTATGGTTAAGAAATGTGAGAATCACACATTGTGGTAACATCAAGTTTTACGTACAGCAATATTGTATCTTATTCTATTATTAAAGTGTGTGTATTGCACACATATTTCAGTTAAAATAAACATAAATGCCAAAAATCTTAATTTGGAAACCTCTGAGAACACTTAAATCACCCGTTTCTGCACCTCTCAGCACTACTTCTCAGTTATCGCTCTGCGGCCTGCGACCTGACTACTACGACGATCCGGCCCGCCACTACCAAAAGGTTGCCGACCACTGATTTAGGCATTTGGGCATGTATGTCAGCATAAGTTGATAAAAACTCTGACATTTAGCAGGTGTGATAGTGGGAAGAGCATCAATAGCTACATCAGTCAACATCTTCTGCCGGTGTTGCTCCAAGTTCCTGCCTGCCCTGCGGGCTGCAATCCTGTCATGGAGCTGATTGCCCCTGTCAGCAAGAAGGTTTTTCATTTCCGCCTTCAAGGAAGAGAAAACATGCTCTATTGGATTAAGAAAGGGTGAGTATGCCGGAATGAATCTAAGAGCCAGATGAATTCCTGGAGGAACTTGATTCAAGTGAGGGCTGGAAGAAAGGAAAGGAATATCGGCGATGTCTGTCAAAAAATGATCCACCAACAGCTTCGTCTCCATGATGAAACGTAGCTTACCGTGCGTTATCCTACAAGAAAACCGCTTCTTGATCGTCCCCAACAATGGCACAGAGGCTGACCAAGAAGTCACTGAAGAGTTGGGCATTCACTCCACCTTGCAATATCTCGTAGTATACCAACCCAGCATCAGGATTCAAAGCAGCGATCATGGTGGTGTTGCGTCCCTTCGATCCAGCAACGATACGATTGCAGCGCATTCCAATCTCTGCTCGGCCATAGCTTCTTTGCAAGTAGAGATTGAAGCCTGTCTCATCAATCCAAAAACATTGTGTTCTAACCCCGTGTCTCATGATCCAAGTGACATATCTGAAAAAAACTCGCATTGTAAATCGGCGTCCTGTACGAATTTCCGCCCTATAGCAGATTGTGTTTAGCAGGCTTAGAACATGGAAGAATCTTTTTCGGCCTCCTGTCTCAAGATTTCAGCGTTACTACTGGTCTTTCGGTATATTGGAAACAAAAAATGGATATTCCGGTGCTGAAACTTTACAAGAAAATGGCTTTTGGCACATGCAAAAGGATCTGGCACTCGGGAGCGCTTTTCGGTCAAAGAATCGCGACATGAACGAAACGAGCCGGTAAATTACAATATTTTTTTTTGCTGGAACATGTGTTGAGAGATGTTCTTACATTTGGTTTGGATGATCACAGGCTAAACATCGCAAACGTCGTTTTTCAGTATGAGGGAGCTTTCCCAGGAGACTGAATTGGAGACAGTTTTTTAGCCTTTTCTTGCAGTTCTTTGTTTCCCATGCTTGCAAAAGAAAAGCCATTTTCCGTACCTGCAAAGGAGCACAATAACACATTCCCAGGGAAATGTTGATGTAAATTCAATCCTTAGCGAAAGTATTGCTCATGAAGCTCTATATTTTCATTAAGAAATGCTTTGACTTCATGTCCGATTTCCGACGCGAAGATTTCAAAGAAAACTCATACATCGACAAATGCGAGAATCCACTGACGATCCTAAGATGCCAGTCGCCGTATTCCACATTCCGTTTCATATTGGAGAGGAATGGATGGAACTTTCCTTCGAAACGCCGAAAATGACATTTCGTTGCCGTAACCGACCATATCCATATGCTGAGCTTTCCCCATGGATGAAAACGGATTCCATTTTGCTGAAGTGGCAATCGCCATTCGCCATTATTTCTGCTGTCATTCTTCACTTACAGAATGCCGAAAGTGAATTTACAAAAAGGCGAGTTGCAAGAGAAACTGTTATGAAAGTCACTAAATGAAGGAGGGAATTCAACCTACTGATGGCGGGCGCGTTTCACGTCGATACGATTCCTATCAGCAGGAATCTGTCTTGTTTGTTTGACGGTGTACAGCATTCCACTTATCGAATTGCTGAGAGTCCTGTTGCAAACCAAAGGTTTTTGAGGAAGAGACATCCTCAGCAATTAATTGAAGCGTTTTAGAGTTATTGTCGGTTCGTCCTCAAGGATGACAGAGCAGAAACCCTTCATCTCTTCATCTACTTTCGGCACTGACTCTCCTCTGTGCTCCAGCTCTATCGATCCAGTTTCCTCATACTTCTTAACGATGCTCCAGGCTGTCTGTCTCTTTACTCCCAGGGCATCAGCAACTACCTGATTTTGAGATAGCGATATACACTGAGGTAATCCAGGAAAATTCAAGGACATTTTTTCAATTGACCAACATTGACAGCATAGGTGACACTTAACAGCAGGGAAACAAGTTGAAGAAGAGAAAAATGCTTACCTGATAGTCACGAGTAGGATGATGTGCTTCAACGATCCTCCTTCTCATCTCATTTGTGGTCTTCTGAAAGCCATCACGCCATCACGGAGATATGATGCAGAAGAAATTGGATTGAGACTGAAAAGCTCCCCCTTTACAACGATTTCGAGGAAAACTTGCTCGCGGACAAAACCGAAATCCGACTGATGATCTTGAAATTCCAGTCGCCGAATTCCACATTCTCTTTAACATGAAATGTGAATGTAGAGGTTGAGTCTTTGGCTCGCCGAAAATGAGATTTCGATGCCGAAACCATATTTCTCAGAATGCCATGAACTTCTCATGGATGAAAACGAATT